CTTTTAGTTATTTATTTAAGGGGGTTTGCACCAAGTACTGCTTGTATGAATTCCTGTAAAAGGTTGAATTAATTTCATAATTCCTGTAATTAATGTTGTTCCTGTTCTGTATGAACATGATATTCCTGTGAATGGATATCGCCATGTCTTAATTTTGTGTCTCTAAACATCTCTTAAATGTTGTAAAATTCTGATATGAAAGAGCCAAAAGAATCCCATTTGTAGATCAAGCAATACTGCAATTACTGAACACCAGAAAAAATGAAAACTGTATCTTAAAGAAAATCTATCAGCTACTTAGTAGAGTAAATGGAACTGTTCAGATATCGTTGTTGGTTTGTTTTATTTTTGATATGGGATGGGGTAGGTGTCTTTATTGCCTAGACTGGTCTCAGATTCATGGACACAAGTGATCCTGTTGCCAGTTTCTCCAGAGAAACTGGGACCACAGACCTGCATCACTAGACCTGGCTCTATGGCTTTTAAAAATAAAGTTCCATCCCAACCCCATTACAGTCTTTATAAAATATTTGAACCCTTCCCAAAAAAGAAGGAAGGAAAAGAATAGCAATCACTGTTACCATTTATGTGTTTTGCTCTATAGATCATATCCAAATCCTACTTTTTTCACTTAACATTGGCTTTTTCATGTTATCATTACCATAGTTCTTAATGGCTGTGTATAATACTATTAGGTATACCTAGCATAATTTACTTAACCCTTTTGCTGTTGTTGAACATTGAGGTTAGGTTTGTTTTTCCAGGTTAAATCATGGCATGATGAAGTATCTTTGTATCTAATGGGTTTTCTTATTTTAGTCTTATTTCCTAAGATAAAAGCTCCCAGGGGCCAAAAGTTTTAAATATTTTATAGACTCATTGTTCAAATTGCATTCCAACTGTCAGTACTAGTTTTTTACTGTTAAAGCATTTTAAGAAACTGCCCGAGTGACAGAGAAGAACTTTGAAACTATTTCAATGGTGTTGGTTTGGTTTATAAGCTGAGATGCTCCAGAAAACCATTAAAAAGTGAGGATGTGGAAATGAAGCATTTGGCTGACTGTGTACACATTTTATTTTAGTAAAGCCTCAAAGTTAAGCCAGGAGCTATTATTCATATTCATGATGTCTCGGCATGGAAAAGTGCTTCTAATTTTTGCAACATACAAGAAGTCTGATGACAGTGACAGAGCTGAATGACTACCCAGACATGCTGACTGGAAAGCTAGAATTAGGATTTGGACACTGCACTCAGTCTCCATTTAAAAGTTTAATGCTTTTTTTCGCTTTCAATTCGTGTTTAGAGATATTTTTATAAAACTGAAAAAAAAAAAACCAGAACAAGTTTGAGATTGCTACAAGACAGAAATTGCAATTAAAACTGTCTTCATTAAGCTGTTGGTTTGTGTTTTCTGGAATAGTAAAGATTGCACTTTAATTTTTTAAAATTTATTTAAAGTTGGATAATTGGAATACCTATTCTTTTTCAAAATCTTTTACTATTATGACTTTTGGTAGCAATAATGGTATTTGCTTTTCATATTTATTAAATATGCAATCAATACTTATTTTCCACTGTTTAAAAATAAAACAGGATGTGGGGTGCAGCTCAGGGCATGTGTGGTACAGCATGTACAAGGACATAGGTTCAATTCCCAGCACCATAAAATAAATTAACAAATAAGGAAAAATAAAACAAATCCTAGTTAAACTTTTTTTTAAAGCAGTACTGGGAGTTGAGCTCAGGGTGCTTGCTAGGTAGGCACTCTGCCACTTGCACCATACCACCAGCCCTTTTTGCTTTTTTTTGCCTTACTGAGGTTTGAACTCAGGGCTTCACACTTGCTAGGCAGGCGCTGTACCACTTGAATCACTATGCCAGACCTCAAGAAGATAGCAACAACTAGTCTTCTCTTTTTTTTGGTAGTACTAGTGTTTGAACTCAGGGCTTCATGATTGTGAGGCAGGCACTCTACCACTTGAGCCACTTTGCCAACCCTTCTAGTTAAGCTTTTTGATGAGTATTAATTTGATTACTTGCTCACAAATTAAGAAACTGACGCAAAATAGGTCACTTGAAAAGCAGATTCTTAATGTATTCCCATATGTAACACTGAAAAACCTCCTCGCCTTAAATTCTTAAAAAGTTTTTTTCTTAAGAAATAATGGAAGTGGAGAAGGAGAGGAGGTTGCACACCCTTATGATCCCAGCATTTTGGGAGCCTGAGACAGGAGAATTAAGAGTTTGAGGCCAGTCAAACACAAGACCTTGTGTCAAAACAACAACCACAAAAAGAAAAATTAACACATTCTACTATAATGTAAAAGGGATGCTAAAAATGAGCAATCATGTCTTTAATTTCATGTCTCAGAGTGACAGTTCACAGATACACTGGAGAGAAGACTTGGTTCATATAACAAAATTCTTTTCTTTTTTTAATTTTTATTTTATTCGTATGTGCTAACAAAATTATCTTGTTAATGCCAAATTAGAAGTCAATTATTTAGACAATTTTCTGGCCTAATTTATGTACCAAGTCTTTGGAATGTTAAGTGTAAGAACTTTGCCTGTATATACTGTGTCAATTATGTTTAAGAGTACTGAAATAGCCAGGTACTGGTGGCTCACCTGTATAATCCTAGCTACCTGGGAGGCTAAGTTCAGGAGTGTTTGAGGCCAGCCTGGGCAAATAGTTGGTGAGACTTCCATCTCCAAAAATAACCAGAGCAAAATGGACTAGAGGTGTGGCTCAAGTGGTACAGTGTCTGCTTTGCAAGCACAAAGCCTCAGTTCAAATCCCAGCCCTACAAAAAGGAATATTGAAACAAACTAGTAAAGATTGTGTTTGTGATGGCATTTATTTTAGAATATGTGTGTCTGGAAAAAAGAATTTTGGCATTTCACATAGGGGGAGGGAAATGCCAGATTTTAGTTTTGTAACTGGTTTTAATTTTATATTCTAAAACATATCTAAAATCTACCCATATAAAATTATTATTGAAATCTTTCACTACTAAAGCATAAAGATTCCTACTCATAATCAAATTATATATCCCAAACTCAAAATGAAATTGTACATGTGCACTGTTCAGCAGTATGTGAATATATTTTAAAAATAGTTAGCAGCCAAAAAGCTTCCAAATCCTTTGATTGAGTCTAATAATAGATTAAAATTAAAAATTTTGTGCTTAATTATTAAACTCCTTATCTTTCATGATCCCACCATTTTCTTTCTGACTTCATAGTTATAATATGTAAAGACCATACATGTTTTAAATGCTTATTTTTATCTACCTGGCGACCCTTTGTACTTATGCAAGTACAAAGAAGGTTTTTTAAATAAGTGCAGTTGAAAGAAAACTCATGTATATCTTGAGAGAATGAATTAAAACTGGCCTTAAGAACTAATGAGCAATAGGGATAGGGAAATGGCTCAAGTGGCACAGCACTTGCCTAGCAAGCTCAAGGCCCAAGCCCTGAGTTCAATCACCAGTACCAAAAAAGAAAGAGAAGAAAAATAATGAGCCTTATCTTTGACCAAAAGGAGCTGTGCATTACTAAACGAAGCCTCCTCCTCATTAGTGTATCACTCTGGGGTTACATACTTTTCAAACTGTAGAGTCATGGAAATAGTAGCACCACTGGTTAAAACATGAAGCTCTATGGGCTGACGATATAATTTGGTTCTTTCACAAGCTATTTAATTTTCATCTTTTTGTGATCATACTTCTTGAACACATGGAATGGGAGTGGAATTTAATCCTTTATGATGTAAAAAGAAAGTATATTCCCTACAAATTATAGGATAAAAGTATTGTTTTCACCCTGATCACATTATCATCATCCTAGGCATGTGGAAAGCTAAATGTCTCTGAAAGTATAGAACAGCTTTCATACTTTAGCTTCATTCACATATCCAATTTTTAGAAACTATTGCCAGTGAAAATATACATTCAGATAGTATGTATGCAAGCACTGTATAGGGAAAAGTGGGGTGTTCTCAAGTAATTAGTTTGAAGTTAATGCAGCCTGGGTGGTTTTTGTTAGACAACTTTGGGATTTGCTAAACTCTACTTATTCTATGTGGACTCTATAAATCATAAGTCTTTAAAAGTTTCCCCTAAAAGTCATTACTTCTGCTTTAAATTTAGTCTGGCCATCCAATAGCTCTAAAGCAGGTAGACTTAAACTACTAGGAGTTCGCAAACTTTTTTTTTTGCAGTACTGGGGTTTGAACTCAGGGCTTACCCCTTGAACCACTCCACCAACCCTTTTTTAATGATTTTTTTTTTTTTCGAGGTTGGCTTCGAACCGAGATCCTCCTGATGTCTGCCTCCTGAGTAGCTAGGACCATAGGCATGAGCCACTGGCACCTGGCTGAGTTTGCAAACTTATTATTGAAACATTTGGGCTACTTTCTGTATTTCAAAGTATTTAAGAAAAATCACAAATTTACTCATGATCAGCCTACATGTATTGATTTTAAAAAGATGCACAGAGATGTTTGATGGTTGTTATTTTGTTACTGAAATTACTGTGTTGACATTGGTTACCTTATACTGATCAGAAACTTTTGCTTAGTGTAAGTGGAAAATAATTATTAATATGTGCAGTTTGAGAGGCAAAATCTTTCAGAACATGTGATACATTAAGTAAACATAAAAAGGAGTCTTTGGTGATTTTTTTTAAAAAGGGCAAAAGGAGTATTCTATAAAGACATCTATAAATATGGTATAACGTGGGTTTTATTTAGATCTGATGAAGAAAATCATCAAAGACTTTTACATAAAATACCCAATTGAATTCAACATTCTTTCCTGCTACTACCTTTATTCCAGGGTGTTAAAATTTTTTCCATAGTTGTGTCTAGTCCTGATTGGCTTGCATACTGAGAACTGCATTGTGCTTAGTTTGTAGTAGGGAAATAACTGCCTTCTCTTTAAGACCTGGCACGCAAATAGTCTTGCATAAAAGTGAACATTATAATTTCTTTTAACAGCTGTAACATCTTATGAAGACCTTGGACTCTTTGCATTTGGATTACCTGGAAAGGTAATTTCATTTTCTTCTCATTGTGTTTAAAACCCAAAAAGACATTTTTTCCCCTTCTGTTTCAAATTAAGAAACAAGTATATATGAAAAGAAAACTATAAGGAAATAAAAGGAAACGAAAGTAAGAAAGGACAGGATGAGCTGGGTGTGTTGGCTCAAGCCTAGAATCCTAGCACTCAGGAGGCTGATGCAGAAGGATTGAAAGTTCAAGGCCGGCCTGGACTGCATAGCAAAATACAGGCTACCCTGGGTCACGTAGTGAGACCGTGTCTCAAAAAAACCCAGACATGATGAGGAAGTGAATTGGATCAAATACAATATATGCATGTTTGAAAATAGGATAATGAAATCTATTAAAATGGTAAAAAGAAGGGAGAGATAAGAAGGAGTAATAGACTAATGAATGTGATCAAAATACATTCTATGCATGTATGGAAATATCATTATTTAACCCCTTTGTTTAATATATTAGTAAAAATATTTTTAAAAAAACCAAAGAATGATAAGAGTAGGAAAAGAAAGATGAAATCTATGTGCCTTTCCTAAAAATGCATCAGTACTAATTTAGTACTTAAGTATATTTGTATATTTCATCCTAATGAAGGAAAACAATGATTTGATGGATTTTAAAATAGTAACAGTGGCCCTTTTTAAGTTTTCCTTATTAGTTTTGATCAAATTCTCTGAGTAAATTAAACAGCATGGCTGTTTGTAAAAGCAATAATCAGAAAATCATATCATTTAAGAGTTAAAGAGTGATGAAAGATTATCTAGCTACCCCATCATTTATAGGTGAGAAAATTAAGGATGAAAGCAGTTAAGGGACCTATTTATCAACACTTAGATAAAGCTAGTTCTATATCCTGAGACTCTAGACTCTAAAGATCCTGCTTTTCCTTCTTAGAGTAATAAAAACAATAGCAAAACTTATTTGGTACTCATTTTTAAAAGGTATTCTAAATGATTTCAGAGCTGGGGGAAAATGCCATTTTCCGTAGGTTATCAGGAATTAAATATTACTATTTGTGTTGTTAGACTTTTTTTTTCTGAAGAGGTCTAATACTTCTAAAATCCATATTTATTTTGGTTCCAAACAGGGCTTTTTCTTTTTGTTTGTGAATCCATTTTTGTACTTTTTGCTCACTTTCATTTTAAAATTTATAAAAATTATACATATCTATCATTTACAACATGTTTCAAAATATGTATACATTGTGAGATGGCCAAATTTAGCTAATTAACATATGCATACCTCACAAACTTAATCTTTTATTCCTAATCTAGCAGGGTGCCATATTTATGGATGGCTAAACTAACTTCTAAAGAAGGAGTCTGAGAGGAAAAAGATATAACTATGTAATAAGGGGAAAAACTTGATTTATATTCCAACTAACTTTGCTTTTAAGATACAAAAGAGAATGTTTAAGTCATACACTAGGTAGCCTCATGGCTTAGATCTTAATAATCCAAAATTTGAACAAAGTAAAATATGTTACTTGAGTTTCTTAGCAGTTGGGATGTATAATGTAATCAATCAGTGATCAATTCCCTGGTTAATTAATTTATTTTTCTACTTTCTTTTTAAATTTTTTATTTATTTATTTTTATTGTGCTGGGGGTACATTGTAGCATTTACAAAAGTTCTTAAAATATATCAAATATATCATACTTCAATTCACCCGCCCCTAATTTAATATGACCTATAAACATGAAGGTGAGTGTCGTTACTGACATCCCTGTTACTTCACAGTCATTATTTCCTGCATCCCTGTTTAGCAGCAGTCTAAAAGAAGAGTGTGGACTGCCAAGTTTCCTTTTCCTAAAACTCTGTAGTTGTTGTACTATCACTTCAATATGTGGTCCCATTTCATGGTAGCAGTTGCACAAGGCAGAGCAAACTGTGAATGAGGAGTTGTTGGTTTTTGTTTGTATTACTATCTACTTCCTACTTTCATTCCCATTTTCTTCTCTCCAGATATGATACTGATATGACATGTGAGAGGATTATATTGTTCTGAGAATTAAAAATATTTTTGAAATATTTTGAAATTTTTAAGAGAGACTTCAAAAAATTATCTCAAAAGTTGATATTTGTACTTGCTAGATATTTATTGAGAATTAAGCCATGCACTGGACAAGGCTCTGAAGACATAGATAGACATTCATTCTGACTTTCTAGATATTAAATGCTTACATTTAGCCAAAGAATGGAAAAGTAATTAGCACTCGGAAAGTACTGCTTTTGGCAATATACTAATAGAAAATAAATACAAATTTCTTGTGTGTCTGACAGTAGGTATCATTTGTACTAAAGACAGTGTGTAAAACAAGTTCAAAATATTCTTCATAAATGACGGAAATTTTGGAACAAATTTTTTGTAGAGAAAGAGATAGTAAAATTTATTAGAAAAAGTATACTTTCAATAGACTGAAAGCTCGTCATCTCTAGAGAGAGATTGAGAATGACTGGAACTAATTTTTAACATGGGTTGAAATGCAGAGTTTGTTCTGAAAAACATTAGAATGGCAGTTTACTACATCCCTTAAGACACCTTGTCAAAATTTCAAATAATTGGCCCTCTGCACACCCCAAGGATTCTAGATCCCGGTAACAGAATGTTTCCAGGATAGTACATGCTATGTCACTGATGGAAGTCCCAAAGATGGGCTAAAGGATGATCTGTTCCCAGTTGATGTAGGACTGAATAATGCTAGGTGACTAGTCAGCTCCAAACATTTATTGGTGATTGCAGTCCACCAAGATTTGTGTGATCAAAAGGCCTAAATGGAAGTACAATGTTTAATCATTTCCTCTGAGTACACAGAATTACCAAGAATAAATAAAGTGCCACCGTGAGTGTTCCAGAAATCTCATCAAACATCAGAAACTAGCAAGCCTGCAGACTGAGCTTAGTCCTCAGGCATATTTGTCCACCTCAAATCTTGTTGTGTTTTTAACTGGTTACCAAATAAAAATGAAGGTTTAAAAAAAAACTCAAGATTTGGCCATGCTTGATCCACATTCCCACATGCCATCAACAAGCCAGAGTTGAGTAGCTGCTGCCACTCCATTTTGAAGAAGGTGTTCATCAGTATACTATAGTCCTTGCCATGACCTGTTGTCTTATACTCAGCTTACTTTACATTATTGAATTTGAGACATTTCTGTCTAAATTTTCAGGGTCTGAGAGTGTTTGAGCTCTAGAGTTTTCCGCTGCAGATTTTATTAATCCCTGGGACTGGAATGCTCAAGGACAAGTATATGGCAAGCTGATTTACTCAGAATACTGTATCATTTATTTTTATGTAATACAGTATTGGTACAATATACTCCAAGCTATCTTGATCTACCTACTAAAGTAGTGTGGTGAAACCACTAAGAAGTGGGTCATGAGACTCCCCAGATAGATTCAATTTCAATTTTTTATACATTGATAATCACAAATTATTAGCTTTTAACACTTTTAACTATTCAAAAATGACTGCCAAGAAAAATTTTGAAGATATTCTTTATAGTAACTGTGGAACTATTAAAGAAAGCATTTTTATGTGATGTTTATAAATTTTATGTATTACAAGTTGCTGGAAAATTTTGTCTTTCCAATTTCTCTTCCTCACTACTTTTGCGTGTGTTTTGTTATATTAGTTATTGTGTTTTAATAAAATACTGATCTTTTTGTTTTATTTTCCCTTTTATTTTCTGAATAATTTGTTCTTTTACAGATGGTGGTGGCAGGCACCATAATAATTCAGAATATTGGAGGTAAGCAATCAAAAGTGTACTGTTTATGCATAACTGCCTTCCTTTTGATTTCTTAGTCTGGCTGGAAGATTGAATCTCTGTAGACAATTGTCTCCAGAAGCCCTGTGTATTGGTTTTATTATTCTTTCTTGAATCCATCTTAGCAGCACTGGTGATAGTGCTTCCAAATTTAGTTTAGCTAACCTTGTTTGCAGTCTTACTAGTATGTCTGCAACACACCTCTAAAGCATTGGCTTTTTGTGGTTGCAATGGTGGCAGGGTACAGTTTAGAGAAACTCTCCAGGTGATCCTAAAATAGTTCCCCTTCGCTTCTGTCCCTTTAATCATCCCGGCTGGTGGCTACCTCTTTAAAGAAAGTGGTGTTCCATATGCTATAAACAATCAGGTATAGGCAATGTCCCCTCATAATTAAGAAATTTTAAATGACCAAGTATTTTCAAAAATAGATCTGAGACAAATAAGAAATATTCTCACATTTATCTTTTATCTAGTTTCTAGTAAAAATAGATCCTACAAATGATCCTGATTATGAGAACTATGTAGAAATATAAATTGCTATTATTATAGACAGTCAACTGCATGTATTAAACATTTAAATTCAGAAAATGGGAATCATGTGTATATATCAGAAAGAGGTTGCATAGGGCTGAACAATGTCTTAATTTTGTTTTACTGTTGATTGGAGTGCTCAACAAATGCTATTGGCATAAAAGAAAATTTACAGGGAAGGTTAACATGTATGTACTTTGGGGCTTATACAAGACTATATGGTCAAAGGAAATTTTAATCTTATTTTTGACCTGTAACAGTTTGAAATAATTTAAAGATGAAAGTTTTAATAAAGTTCAATGTAAGAGACCTAAGCTATTTCACATTAAGTCTTGTTCAACCAAATTCTGTATTTAATGTTTTGTGGTTAAGGAAAAAAATGAACATTCCATCAATGAATTGTACTTGCCATTGTTTTGGAATCCTGAATAGTCATGTGTTAATTCTTTGACTTGCCATGGAAAAATGTTATTGAATGAGAGAAGAATGCTTTCTTGGATGCCATACAAATAATTTTCTTCCGGTTCACACTATTTCACACGCAGCATAAAAAACAGAAAACTGGTCTCTTTTATGGTGGTTTTGTGGTGATTTTAAAATTTGTTTTGGAGTAGTTTATTTTATTTAACAAATATGTATTGCTTAACTGGGTACTGGTGATGTTTCTGAATATGGACATACATTTTGATATATTCAATCCCTTATTATCCTTTTTTGTGTGTGTGGTGGTAGTAGGGTTTGAACTCAGAGCCTCACATTTGCTAGGCAGGCATTCTATCACTTGAACCACTCCAGCCTTTATCCTGTCTATATAGACACTAAGATCTGCCACATTTTATTTAGATAAAGTTGAGCCATTATCTAACAATTTATGGAGAATTTTCAGTTCAGGCATTTGAATCTAAACTTGTGACCTTGGCACAATGCTCACTGTTGTATTTTCTATATTTTTCAACTTCATCCCTTCCTTGTTCTCTAATCTTGTTTTGACATGACTGTGTTAGCACTTGCTGTTATGAGGTTGATGTTATCTCTGTATACAGTTTTCTCCCCCGCTATATTGTAAGCTCCCCCAGGGCAAGGATTATTTCTCATTTCTCTTTGTACTCCCAGCAACTCGCACAATACCTGCCACTCGATAAACCTTTGTTGAACCCTAATGGAGCTAAAATGATTTGTATGAGCTATTTCCAAGTACTTTTTAATATTCCGGATTAATTTATCAAGAAAAGGGGAATGCTAGCTTTGAATATTTGAGAGACTGAACGTGAAATAGAGAGAGAGAGGGAGAGAGACACTAGATTAATCTAATATTGTTCCAGAGAGTAAAACTGGTTCTAATGTATAGAAGTTTATAAAGAAGCTAGTTTGGGTTCCTTATCTGGGATACTATCTTGGCCTATTTTGTGCTTCTATAACAAAAATAGCACAGACTGGCGCTTTATAGTGAGCTTTATCATTTGGCTTTGGATTCTGGGAGGTTCAAGGTTAAGATGCCATATCAGGTGAGAGCCTTCTTCCTAGATCATAACATGATGGACTGTATCACATGGAGACATAGAACAGAATGGCAAACTTGCAGCCTCCAGCTTTTTTTTTTTTTAATAGTGGACGTAAATCCATTTGTGAGAATGGAGCTTCATGACCTAAACACTTGCCATCAGACTCCGCCTCCCAACACTGTTGCATTGGAGACTAAGTTTCTAGCACACGCAGTTTGGGGACACATTCAAACCATAGTAAATACCCTTGTAATTAAGCTGTGTGATAATGGGAATGGACTACACTACTTTGGAGGTGTTCCTTATCTCTGAAAACATTCAAACAGAGCCTGGTATGGTGGCATATGTTTGTAATCCCAGCACTCAGGAGGTGGACACAGGAAGATCACAAGTTTGAGTTCAGCTTGAGCTGCATTGTGAGATCTTAGCTCAAAAAACCAAGGGCTGGGGGTGTAGCTCAATGGCAGGAACACTTGCCTACCAAGTACAATGTTCTGAGTTTAATCCCCAGCACTGCAGATAAAAGGGGAGAAAAAAAACCCTGGTTGGCTTATTATCAGAATGTTCTGGAAAAGTTTTTTGGTAGTTCCCCAAACTCTGAGTTTGTTGGTTTGCTTGCTTATTTTAGAAAAAACAATTTAGAAGCAGGCACAGCAATTTTTACTGTGCCTTAAATTCAAATAAGCTGGTAATGCTTATTTAATTTTTCTATAATGTCCTCAGGATCCTCTTTACATTGGTTAAAAGTTTATTTATCGAGATCCCACTGAGTAATAACTGAAAACATATTTTCAGAGATTTTTCTTTATCTTAGTCAGATATACATAAATTATTTCTTGATTATAAAAGAACTCGAAGCCTACTTTTGTGAGCAGAACACTGGTTTGGACATCAGGTACCTTGGAACGTGTATCTATTCCAGTCTCTGCCATTGGGTAGATACGTGTCTCGGAGAAATCCTCACCCACTCTCTTGGCTTTAGATTCTTTCTTAAATTATTGAGGATGGGAAGTAGAGAGCTTTAGGGGCCCTTCTCACCCCCAAATTTGAATTCTGACTTGGCACTATGGAAAAAATGTTGATTCTTTTAGGCATTACAGGTGTGCACCACCATCTCCATCTTCTCTTTTATTCATTGTAACATTTAGGCATTTCTCAATTGTCTTGGGATACAATGCCCCTGATGAATCTAAGAAAAAACTGAAGAGACAAGCCTTTAAAAGCAAAATGATCATAAATTGTTCTTGATCAATATTTGTACCATGAGTCTTTCAGTGAAGGCACAGTTTATTTCCTACATCTCCATATTACAAATAAAAGTAATTTATTTACTTATGACCCTAGTACCTATATATTAGACATTTAGTAACTAATATGTACTACAAGAAGAAAGGAAGGAATAAGAAGAGAGAGAGAGAGAGAGCTCTGGTGACCTGATTTAGAATCACTTTGGAGAAAAAAGAAAGTTGATTGACCAAAAAGAAAAGACCACAGGACATATAAGTGAGCATGCAGTTTCTTTTGGGAAAAATGTACTGTCAGAACTTCACAGAAATCATCCCCACAATCAATCAGGCACTGAGTATTAGTCACAGGGGCACTAGTGTGATCTAACAAACTTATTTTAAAATGTCTGTTTTTAAATCTTTACATTTTATCATGGAAAAATGCACCTCACTAAATTTAGATTGTTACGGTTGTAGAAATCTTTGCCTTTGGAAAATGGAGACCCATATAGTGAAATATTACTTAAAAGTGATTCTTGCTCTCCTTTCAGCAGTACTGAGTTGGGAGCCTGAAATAGGCCTTTTCAGAGGTAGCTCTTTGCTATCCATTTCCCCAGGCTTAGAGTAGCATTTGGTGAGAGCCATTGCCACTGGGACACTGAATTGGAAATGAGGTGTCTAGGAGTTCTAATATTTAATGCCATTACAGGCAAGACCATTCTGACTCAAAGAGTTTGAATTTGGTTAACTAGTAAAAGGATTAAGAACTACAGTAGAAAATAGTTATAGGTGGTTTCTGTATAGTTCTCTATTGTATTTTGTGACTCTATTCCTAAAACCTAAGATAAGTTGTTAGTTTCATATTAAATTGAACTCCTGAGATAGACCATTCAGTAGGGTAGAATATCACGAGAAATCAAACAGTAAACCCCAACTCATCTTCTTAGTGAAGCCGGAGAAAGTCCTATTAACTCTTACAAGTATATGATAAATCAAAGTCAATTAATGTATTTTGTTCATTCTTGCCAACTGAGAACATGAAGGTGAGCTGCTCTTAAGAGTATGTTAAATTCTTATTTTGCTCTTATAAATTATGAAGAACCACCACAGCTATCATATTCTTTCCTCACTTCTTTAAAGTCTAGTTCCTTAAAGGAGATTAAAGATTTAATCACAGCTACATATTGTGAAAGGAAAACCCTAAACATTGGTAGTCTCACTGAAAACTCCTGAAATTGCTAGAATTACCCAGATTTTCTAGTCCACCACAGAATCCACTGTAGCAGCCTTGATTAACACCTCAATTTGGGAATTTAAGGTTTAAATCTCGTAAACAAGAAGGTATAAATAAGATTATTTTTAGTTGAGAACTATGAAAATCTTAAATTCTCAGTATTTGACAAGTTCGTGATTTAATACTAGATAATTTTAATTTACTTTCTTCCTGTTCTTTTAGGGGGAGGAGTATGTGGAAGTGGGAAGCAGGGTAGTGAAGTATAGTCTTTAAGATGTACTGGTTTGCTTTGTCCCTTGGGAAACTGGGAAGGGGGTGTGCTGTTACTGCGCCATCTGCTGGTCAGTTTATCCGTAATCAAACTGCAGCTTTTTTGAGCCTGGTTCTGTATGGTCCTGAAATTCTAGAAAACACTGCCATACACTAGAACTCTAAACATTAGGGGAAGTACAGGAAATTTGAGATGAGAATCTTTTTCATAAGTATTTCCTTGACAAAATTTACTAGTAACATGTCATTTTAAAGAGATTTTGAAACTAATGTATTTATTAGTAATGATTTCTATTGTAAGATTTTTAGAATAGTAGATACTCTGCTTTTCATTTAAACTCGTGGTCTTGACAAATAATAAAGACTTTTTTTTGGATTATGGAGGAACATTTTCCACCATATATTTTTATTTCCATTTGTACACAAATCGGGTAATGTCATTGTTTTCAGAGTTTTGTTTTGTGTTTTTTTTTTAAAGATCCTTTAAAAAAAAAGATTGTATGCTATTTGAGTGAGGATAGAATTTTGGAGTCATTTACACACTTACTGGAAGTACTCGGTTAATGAGACATGTTGGATAAACTAGTTATCCATGACTAAAGACAAGTTTGAAATAATGTTGAATCTCTCTTAAATGAAAAGACAAACTTATGTTTCCTCCCATAGTACATCTGTTTGTTAAGGGCTGATTGACTAATCCTTTAAGAAGTTGCCAAACTTCCCCAAGTGTTGAAAACCTAGTTCTACTTTAAAAACAGCTGAAAGAAACTCATTGTCATACATGTATTTTAAGTGTTTAAAAAAGTGAATAATTATCTTTGTAAACTAATGATTTCTTAGGGCCAAACTCAATTAAGTTTTTTCTTTCCTAAAGTTGTATGAACTATTGACAAATTGAGAAGTATTTTCAGAGTTTTGGGAAAATAGTCCCTAAAAGTACAGGGATTGGGGAAAATGGGGTTGGGTCTGTTTTTATTTTTTAGATTTCAGGGTAGTATTACATCTCAGTTACATGATAGTAGAAAACTTTCTCTTAGAACCTTATCGTAGCTGTAAATGCAGTCAAATCATGGTAGATGCAATGAAGTCCTACCATGAAACTCCATGAAGTTTGGAATAATCACTTCATCAAACCATCTATAAAACCAAACTGGAATACATTAAAAATACATCTCAAAATGAAAATTACAGTGTAGTTAAAGCTTCTGACTAGTGTTCTTTGTTATAGAGAGTCTTTATTTTCTTTGTTTAAGCTCAGCACTCAAAAGCAGTTTGCTGATTAAATACTGATGAAAAATACAAAGAATAATTCTGGAGAGTGGTCTTTTTCACAGACTTTGCTCCTGCTCTCATCCATAGCACACTAGTGAATAGAGCAAGTTTCTCAAGCCAGACTGATGGTTTCTGCCATTATTATTTTAGGCAAATTACTTCTTTGTGCTTCCATTTTCTCATTGGTGAAATAAATAATGTCTGCCTCTCAGGTATGTGTAAAAATTAAATGAGGAGATAACTTCCACATACCTAGAGTATTGCCAAACATATAATAGGCATCCCCAAACCAAAGAGGTTAGCTATCCTCATGGATCTTCTCTCAGAGCCCCTTACCCTTTCTGTGTTTCCAACATCTATCCCCTCAACCTCGTGTCCTTTCTTACAGTTGCTTTTCCACATGGTTTTTAAAGGATGCTTTCAATTTCTGTGTTTTGTTTAGGTTGACAGATTTTTTTATTTCCTTCTGAAGGGCAGTTTCTGTGAAATGACTTCTATTAATTATGTTTAAAATGAAGGAGAAAAGGATACCTATTTAGTTAATGTGGTGAAACTAAATGGTTAGTAATGGCTGAGTAACTGACATTAAGGTGTATCTTCCAGTACTAACTAATACTGGCTTTGGTGATATGGAGGCCAGAACTACTTAACTAGAACCATGACACTGATATAGTTATTCTTTAGAGTAATCATGATGGGTCTTTTATTGGGAGTCTATACTACCTATTGATGTCAGGAAAAATGATTTACAAATTCTTGCTTATGACCTATCTCTAAGATAAGTCTCAAACATTTCCTTATGCCATTAATAGAAGACATGAGACAAAAGGTGTGGCAACCAGCCATTTGACCTACTGAACCTTTTGGTTTGAAACAATGGTTCTATGAGCTTTCCCATTGATATTACATGTTCAAACTTTTCCCATTCTTTTTATTGAACTGATTATTCTTTTCTTGTGGATATAACTAAAATGTGTTTCCTAATCTAATAGATATTTGGTAATATTTTTGTTCTTTGTAGTGTATATAATATGTTAAAGTGCTAGTCCTTGCATGAAAATTTATTTGTGGTTAAGAAAAATAATTTTGGCAGTGAATAGGATAGTGTCTTTCTTTGTTTTCCTTGCTTAATCAGTGGAGTTTTTCCCCATGGTAAGCTCTGTGGTTTTTAACTCTTAAAACATACACTAGCATTCTCTAAGAAAGAAGCAGTATTTTGCATGCTTTATTATATTCGTGTTTTATATACTGAGGTCTTTTTTGAGAGAGAAACATGTTTGGTGAGTTCATATTTCTTAAAATATACATGATTCTTCAGGCTGGAATCTATTGAAACAGGATTTCCATTTAAAAACCATAGTTAAGGCTATAACACAGGATAAAAGTGATCAAATGATTAGCCAGGGGGTAATAGAACTTCTGGAAAGAATGACAGATTGTATATTAGAAAGAAATATGATCTCATATTCATTAAAGCTTTTTACAATGAAGGATCCAAAAGAAATAATAGAAAATTACTGAAGAGGATGAATGCCTGAAACTTTAGAAATGCATGTGGTATTGGGTTAATCCAAGCAAGAAAGACTGATGGGCAGATAATAAATTACATTATGTTGGAAGTTTGCATTCCTTGTTTTGAAGGTGTTTTTCTATCTCTCAAGGCATATTTAAGTCATTCTAAGCCAGTTTCAGAAAATTCAGCTCAGGATTTTCATCACTGTACCATATGTATATGATTCTTTGGAACAGATAAAATGTTAGAAAGACTCCAAATCCTTAAGCAGAGGAGGTTAATAGAAACCTTCATCCTGTTCTGTGCCAAATTGATTCCCTTATGAGAATATGAACAATGTAGAACACATTTTCACATCTGATTAATTATGATATCCCATAACTAAAAGAGGTTGCAGAAATTTCACTACAGAGAAATGATTATTTAACTGTCCTAAATTCTAAATTTTGCTTTGCCATAGGTGCATACTATTTTACCAAAAAAAAAAAGAGGGTGTGAGTATACATGTGTATCTTCATACAAATTTACACACAAACTGACAATGTATGCCCTTTTTTCTCCAGAGTTAGCTGGAGAAGTTCAGCTACTTTACAATAGGTTGATTGAGAGATCCACATTGTTCTTAAACTATTGAGACTTTTCATCAAATTTCCCCACTCAGACATGGCATTCCTTGGTATTCTTAGTTTTTATAATTCCAAGGAGAAAGTGAAATATTTCCTGAAGTATAAATAAGTACTAAAATTAATGTGCACACAGAGTACACTCATTTTTCTTCATGGACATTATCTTGTTGGCCCTTTGTGTGTGTGTGTGTGTGTGTGTGTGTGTGTGTGTGTGTGTGTGTGTACTTAATCTCTGGGGAAAAGGAGACTCTTGCTCTGTTAAATTGAGGTTCTGACTCCAAATCAGCTGGATTTCTATATAGCTCTTATTTAAGCTTAAACTCAAGGATTTGCATATAAATGAGTTCTATATTCTGTAATCATATTAATGATGGAAGGTTTATAGAAATTATTTTTATAGCTAGACTAGAAATAGTATCATTATTAAAGTGCTATAAAAGTTAGTTACTTCTTGGATCCCGTCAGCTAAAATGTAAAAATAACGCTAGCTTCAGGTTCTGATTATATAATACAGATGTGCCCTGTAAATAAAATGGAATAAAAATTGAAAGTTCTGTCTCTTATATGCGTGATAATTTCTAGTGAATCTTCTAATCTGTTTTAGAGGTCAACTTTAAACATAATTTGTTATTCTATTTTTGCCTTATAATGACATTTTTTTACAATGTGGGGGCCGGTAGCAGAGAAAGGAAGAGAAAGTGGGAGAGGCAATGAGAGTTCTGGGAGGAGTGTTTTTCCTAGTGGGAAAGAAAGTTACTAGCCATGCTTATTAAACTTCTGTTTTTATATTAATCATTGATAAATTAACCTCTAATGCCTTGGACATATAAGGGAGATTTTGCAAAACTTTGAACAAAAATTTCATTCATAAATGTCCTATACTCAAGGCCCTTTCTCTTATCTAAATAGTTTGCTTTGGACTTGAAATATAAACAAAGGGTCCTCAATACACATACCAATTATTCTTCTCTACAAAGTTACTTATCTCTGTTCCTGGTATATATGTTTTTGGGTTAGTACGTTATGAGTTAATCTTTAATATGCTGTCTTAACTCTAATGGACATCTGTGTTCCTGGGTCGATTACTCTTCAAATGATTTAAAATTATAGAATTCTAATAGGAAATAATTTTATTCTTTTTTGCAGCTATGTCATCTTATCTTTTAATTATTAAAACAGAGCTTCCTGCTGCTATTTCAGAATTTTTGAATGGAGACTATAATGGGTAAGAAAAAAGATTTCACATTGTGTCCATTCCAATTTATTAATTCAGTAAATGTTTATTAAGCTCTAGTGGCAAGTGAAACAGATGCAGTCCTTGTTCTGAAGACACTTGGAGATTGTATGGGTGGAGTAGTAATAGAAAAGAAAACACTGCGCAGTTGTTCATTGGTTATCCACAGTGTTCAAAGCACTGTACTCTGAACCACCTGAAGCCCCAGATGCAGCCCTTGTACTCCTTGAGGCTGTGACGGGGTCAAGTTGTGTCTGAGATAGCTCTTGGAGAAGAAGAATAAAGAAATGCCTGAGGATATGAAAGATGGGGTAGGGACCAAGGGAAGGCTGAAGATACTGACAGTAAGAATCTTAAAGGGGGACAGTGAATAATTCTGCTGTCACTTTTCAGCAAATCACACCAACAAAGAATGTGGCAGTTACAACCATACCTGTGTGAGATTTATATTATACAGCATGATAAATTAGAAGTTCTTAATTATTTCACTTCCTGTTTTTAACATAATTATGAACAATACCAAACCACAATATACTTTCTTTCTCCTTCTTTATTTAAAAAATATAGGGTCCTACAGAATATACTGACTCATCTCTTTATGGAGAAAACTCCAAATTAATTATGCTTTTCCTTTCACTAGGTAGAACAAGAATTTTTTTAAAAGAAAAATGAAAAGACAGAATCAATCCTTTTAATTGTCAAGTCATTTCACATAGTTTTCAAACCACAACAAAAACCTGTCATATTTGTAGATTAGACTATTTGGTTGTTTTGTCCTAGTAGTCGAACTTATTTAGCATTCAGGGAAAGTTCTCAAACTTTAGTTTTTAGCCTTGACAACTTGGCTTCTGTTAAAGAATTCTACTTAGACAAATACAGATGAATATTTGTAATGACAGCATAGTTGCTTTAGATCTGAATAGGAACCACAAGAAAATGTGATTGAAAAAAGGTAGCAGAGTTACTTAATGATTTTTCATCGTCAGAAGATATCGTTCTTTGATAGTGCCTTAGAGTTCACAGGGTTTTCACTTTCATTATCATGTCTGATGCTCACAACTACCTTGACTTATCTTCAACTTTAGTTGCATTTGATTTTATCCTCTTAGTTTGATAAACAGTTGCTGTAAGAGATAGCTATGTCCAATTCGCTTTTGTATTTGTTGTAAAAACATTGAGAACTTCTACTCCTCTAATTCTATATGAGAAATTTATTTTATAATGTAGGGCTAAGAACTCAAGGCAATATGAGGAAGAACAAAGAATGTTCAATTTAGAGTGAGGAGACGTGTTCTGTCCACTTCATACAGTACTCTCAGGAGTTTAACTTCTTTAGGTTTTATATATAACGTAACTTTGAACATAGACTTCTTTACCTAGTGTAACAGGGATACCAATGTTGGTCTTCTTAACAAAGTTATTGGAATAATCAAATAAAATATTTCATATACACATGTTTGGAAGCTTATATTACAATGTAAATATGGAGATTAAGGAATTTCAGTGATAATAACTATATTAAAGATATCCTTTCCTTTTTTACTCAGACTGCCAGGAAGCTCAGAGTCAAATATGAATATATTATGTAAACTATATTAATCCTAATAGTTGTTGTATGTCCCCTGTGCTTTTATATTCTGTTTATTTTTGGTTTGGTTTTTTTTTTCTTTTGGTCCTGAATTGGCAACTTCTATTTACATGTTGTAATTGTCATATCTTTGTGAATGAGAAAGGATATAAGTATATATACAGTTTCAGAAATAAAGTAGTATTTGTCTACTGAAATTGAACTGATACTGAAACTTAGGTCTTCTGTCTCTAAAAGTGATCTTTTTATAATAACTTTATTTTAAATCAGTTGCCATTTTTATATTGTCAGGTTTTTTCTTATTTTATTTTGAAAGCAAAAAAATTAAAATTAAGCCCCATCTCAGTCATATTAATAGACAGTTGGTTAAGGTGTTACTTGATGTATCAGAAATGGGATTTAAAAACTGTGCACTTCAAAATACTGGAAACACCTTGCATTATTTGTGATGCTATAAAATTGCACATCTTTTTAAGTAACCTCACACAGTTTTAAAAATATATATTTGCTTATTTTGGATTAAAGTCTCAAAACACTTTAATAAGTGACTGTATTAATTGGCTAGAAAGCATCTAAATCATTAGTCCTTAAAGCTTAATGTTATAAAATAATTAAGAAACAAACGTTATGGTAATTGACTTTCCTTTTATTTCCAGATAGAGTTACACAGCAATATTTCTTCAATAAGATCAATATGATATCGATATGTTTTTATTTTAGGGTATGATTTACTATAAATTTCAATTAAAGTCTTTTAGGTGTGCTTATTTTCTGGGTTATCTATGGGTTTGATATATCTTTGTGAAATATAAACCTTTATGAAGATATTATCAAAAAGAAACTTTGTGTTTATTGTGTTCTAATTTCAAAAATTACTAGTAGGAATCAAGAGCTATAATGCATATATCTAACCTTTGTGAAGGAGCTATATTTTTCATAGAATAAATTATATTTTTTAAACCTATGTCTGTTAAAAGTTGGAAGCTCTCTGTTAGCATTTAGTGGCCTTGTCAGGGGAATATGATTGACACAATTAAGTTGTCTTGCATTTGAGTTACATAATTGATATGGGATGTGAGTAAGATCCTAATTCAGAACATATGATACTCTTGTTCCATTCCATTCGAGAATGAAATTAAAGCAACTTATAAATAAATCTGGTTTTCATTTTAAAAAAATGGAAAAAACATCTGCATGCCAAAGCATTGCAATACAGCTAAGGATTTATACTCTATTTCATACTTAGAACATTTGTATCATATAGGATTAAGTCCACAGATCAAACAAGTTTTCTAGGAAGTCTAAAACTTTTTGTTGTAATTCTTTTGGCTTAAAAAGAATGTGTATTTAGATCACAGTAGGAAAACAGGAGTGCTATTAGATGTTTTTCCCCCTCTTAGGAAAAAGTCTGAGGTCAGTACATTTTCCTAAGTTCTTGTTTTATATAAGAATTTTACTTACTATGTGCTTTTTGAGATTTCTTCTGACTGATTTGTGTTTTTCAGGATAAGGTTTTACTTTGTAAGTTTAGTCACTTTTGTTCTTTGGAGAACATCCATTTCCAAACACAGTTGAGTTGGCTGTGACACATGCATGAAATCTCAGCTAACTTTACGTGCTTTTACTATGTTGCTTTTATTGCTAATGAGTGGATCACATAAGCACTGTATTTACAATTGGACATAGTAACATAAATTAGTAAGGATTAGAAATAGTAAGAACCACTGCCAAGCCAAGAATAGAGAAATTATATTTTATAAGAAAATTCTTTTCATATTAAGACTTTAGGATTCAGTCCTTTGAAAAAGAGATTATAAAGCATGATCTTGAAATAAATGAGAGAGTATCTTAAAAATACCATAAACTAAGAGTGATTGTAGAAGAGTAGAGAGACTTTCCATCACTACAATAAGATCGCCATCACTGCCTGCTGCCCTGACAGATGTGTAAAAGGAAGCTGCTGCACCAGATCTCTAAGCCGTCTTCCAGCTCTAGTACTCTGCAGCTCTGTGACTTGGAGTTACTGGTGGGAGGAGGTAATGGTTTCCTCAGACCCAGAGTTTAGTGGTTGTTCAGTCATGTGACTTTCATGGATACACATTAATTGTGATCTGAAACAGTTATAAAGGAACTCTTGTTCGGGATTTCAAAAAGTGTTCATTTAATTTTGTAGAAGAGAAGAGGGTCCTGGTCCTGTAAATTAACATGCTGCCTTTTGTATAAATTTACCTTCATGTCATTTTGCTTTGTTTTTGCTTTACAAGAGTCAGGTTGCTCTATAATAATTTATTTTTATATGGTAAGAACACTCACCATGAGATGAACCCTGTTAATGGGTATTTAAGTGTACAATGCAGTATTGTTATCCAGCAGGGACAGCAGAGCTAGCAGATGGAATCTGCTTTGCACTCCTTTGGGCCTTGTTCTCCTGGCACTGCAACTGTCTGTGTCTGATATTGGGTCCCACAAGGAAAGACATTTCAGACTTAGAGCCCTGGGCATGTTGCCAGCTTCACAAATTTGGTTGCCAGGTGTTCCTCACTGAGGGATATTTTGAAGTCATTCAATAGTAACTAGAAGGTGAACTATTGAGTATTCTTTTGTATTTTTAATATGCATACTCTCTTAGTACTTCCTGCATGCCAGGAACTGAGGGGCTTGTGCAATGTAGAGAGCGCAGTTTCAGATGCATGAGAACTAGAAATAGTTGTGCCTAGGTTGTAGTTGCTGGCACAAGCTTTTCCTAAGGACATGAGTTAGAGGAGGGAAGGGAAAAGTGTGGTCATGGTGCTATTTTCTGCTGCTGCTCTTCTTGTTCTCTTAAAGAGGAAGTTGTCAGAGCCCAACAGTAATGACTCACAGTACATTGGAGAGGACTTCCTCATAAACCAGTGTGTAAAAGATGTACATTCAATCATAAAATCTATGTTAGAAGCTATGAGTTGAAACCCAGGTAGAGAAAAGCCCTTTCTTAATTTCACATGGCATGGGAGACTTTGGATGCATTATCACAAAGTGGAAATTCTGAAATCACATACCAAATGATTTGAAACAGCAATTGCTACTAGTCTTTGATGCTTTAAATTCCTGTTCTAGTGTGAATTACTGTGATGCATGTGTGTATATGAATACTTATGCCTCAGTGTAAAAATGTGACTGCTACATTACAGAAAAATCTAGAAAAGAAAGCAAAAGCAAACTATACATAATATCATTTCTACTTAATTTTTGTTCTTCTACTTCCTTTGAATTTTTCCTGAGCAGCTTTAAAAAATGTAGTTAATAATCACATGTATTTATGTCATTAACATTTTCCATTTTACTATATTGGCTTTTTTATTTTAAAAAAAAGGTATATAACAGTCCATTGAGTATGCTGCTGTTGACCTAAATATTTTCTGTTGTTGGGTAGATAGAGTTTTCTCTTTAGCTTCTTAATATTAGAGCAGTATTGTATTCAATAGCTTTCGTTCAGAGAGATTTTTTCCATCTTAAATGATTTTCTTAGAGTGGATTGCTACACTTCTATTGTTCTAACTGTATATCATCATTTTTTTTCAGAGGCAAGTACTAGTTGACAAGATCATCAGCAGTATATGATGAACCACTTATGCCACATCTTAGATGACATTTTAAATAATTCTACTAATTTAATTTCAACAATCTCATTTTTTAGCACCATTGATTGGATTTTTCTTCATGTATATTTACTAGTTATGTCTCTTTCATGAATTGTTTGTCCTTGGCAAGCAAATTTTCTATACCTATGTTTCATAGTGAAAAATTAAAACTATATAAATAAACAAGATGAAAAATTGCTCAAATTGCTACCAGATAGAAATACCTATTTTTGGTATTTTAAGTATATTCTCTGACTTTTAAAAAATGTACAGCTAGTTTTTATTTTCTCTGTGCTGGAGACTTTTTTTTAAATGAACAAATATGTAATTATACTACTAACTTACATTTTCATTCAGTATTCTAATGTCTTTTTCTTTTTTATTAGCATTTATTAACTGTACAAAATAATGGGTTTTATTATGAGCTTTACACACATGTAAATAATGTACTTTGATCACATTCACCCCCTACTCACCTCTAATGTCTTTATTTGAAAATGTTAATATTTTTTAAGCTAGTAATTCATGCCCTTTCCTGAAAAATATAGAAAACTGCACAGAAGAAAAATTATTCATTATTTACCTCTCAGAGATAATGATTATCAATACATTGTAGTTCCTTTCCATTTTAATGAATCTATATTTTTTTCAAAATGGTAACACTTTAGAAACACACAAATATGCACAAGTATATAATGTTTACTGAATAGTCATTATTTTGTTATTTCAAAATTGTCATGGTATTAGATGTTTGTTTCCAATTTTCAGTATCTTAAATATTTTCAATAAGTTTTTTACAAAAGTTTTTGTTCTTATTGCTAATTACTTTTAGTATTCTTTTATAAGTGTTGAAAGGCACAGTTCTTTCAAGGCTCTCGGTATCTATTACCAAATTGCTTTCCACAAAGCAGTTTATGTTTTCATCAGGTTTTCCATACCTCATCACTCCTTATCAACATTGACTATTAAATATTTGTTACTTTAGTAGTTGAAAAATGACATCTTGTTATTTTGGGGTCTTTTGTTTTCATGGCTTTTTGTGACAGAGTTTTGCTATGTAGCTCCTGCTGGACTCAAACTCACTGTCCTTCTGCCTCTGCCTCCCAAGTGCTGAGGTTACAGGCATGTGCCAGTATTGCCTTGATAAGTTTCCTAAATGTAAATTCATTAATAAGAATAATAGAATCCTATAAGAACATTCTAACAAAAGGAAGTAAGCCTTCCCTAATGTGTAATTATAATTGTTGTAACATGTGTGTGTGTGTCCAAGTGTCTTAAGTGTCTAAGAACAAATATAAGTCCTATAGTCCTATGCCTAAAACAGAACTTTTTTCCTAATAGGGCTTGGTATCTTGATGGACAAATACTACTAATAATCATTTGTGTTGGCATTGTATTTCCTCTTGCACTTCTTCCCAAAATAGGTAAGTTTTTGTAGAAGAGCCTTTGATTTGTTTTGAGAGAGAGAGAGAGATTGAGGCTTTAGATTTCATCGTATCACATTTTTAGCAGAAGAGCAGTGACTGTGAATAATTTAAAACTTGGCCTTATTTGAAGTTGTCCCCCCTTCAGCCCTGCCTAGTTAACCTACTACTTGGTTTGCAGTAGTATTTTGTCTGCCCCACTAAAATAAAATCTTTACAGCGGAACATTAAAGAGCAGCTTTCCCTTCCAATGTACCATTAGCGGTAAGCCAGTTCAATTCTGCTGCACAGAGCTACGCAAATGGTCTGTGACAGATAGTTGGAATGTGGTTATTCTGAGCCCTAAGCCCCAGATACCAGCACCGTAATAGAAAACATGCCCAAGACGCATAGCTTCAGTTGTAAGTTAGATCACTTTCCTTCTACATTGCTTTTTATTTTACTATTGTTTTACAGGCTTTCTTGGCTACACAAGTAGTTTATCATTTTTCCTTATGGTGTTCTTTGCTCTTGTGGTAAGTTTAAAGTATAATCTATTGCTTATCTTCTCACTAAAATTGTACTCATGTTAATGAGTTTTTCTTCTAACTCTGTTTTATGTTGGAAAACAGGAGCCCATTTTATTTGCAATGAGTTATTAAAAGCACCTTTGTTCACAAAAGATAATTTTGTTCACAAACTTATTTCTTTCATTATATCCATTCTGGAGAGACCTAGTTGGAGAAGCATTTCAAATTCAGTATCTCTCGAGGTTAACTAGAGGAGAAAACACACTTCTCAAAGCCCTAGATGGAGTAGAACTCTTTGTGTAGGTCTATCAATTTATTTCTGTGCACGTTGTCTGAAGAGTCAGTCAGGTGCTAATCTACAAAACCAATTTGATACTAGTCATCTTAATTTTGAACCCCCTAAGAAGGGGGTTCCTGAATTTTGTCCCTACCTACTGGGATTATTTGGCATAAAAAGCTCTCATAAAAACAATACTGGGAATAAATACTTTTCTTCACATGTAGGATATATTTTTTCTTATCTTTAACTCATTTTTATTATAGCAAAAATATATGGTAAATTTAATTTATTTTGATGTTTATAGAATAATTTAATATAAAGATAATAGAGAATTTGAATTCATGACCTCTTAATTCTCCTAAGGCAGATCTTAGAAAATATTTTGCATCTTATAGACAGTATCTTTGTGTAAAAAAATTTTTTTTGGTGGAACTGGAGTTTGAACTCAGGACTTCACACTCACAAAACAGGCACTCTATTACTTGGGCCACACATCCAGTCAATTTTGCTCTGGTTATTTTGGAGATGGGGGTCTCTCAAACTATTTGCCTAGCCTGCCTCAAACTGTGATCCTCCCTATCTCAGCCTCCCAAGTAGCTAGAGTTAATAGGCATGAGCCACTGGTACCTGGCATATTAAAAATTTTGAAACCTTTTTTTCTATGCATAGCAATTTATTCCATAGCCAGTATCTAAATGTCAAAACTTAAATTAGATTAAACATTTTTATGTTTAATAAAACATATATAGAAGCATATTTATATATATACATATCTTCCTTTTCTTCAATGTGGTAAACTCTCCCTTAGTTACGGATAACTGAGTGAAAGAAAAACGTCATATTTAAGAGCAAGACAGCACATCAGTAGTTAAGCCATATTACAGAGCAAAACTTCAAAGCTTTCAGAACAATCTAGGATATGTTACATTTAGCCTAATCTAACCCATCTTTTGAAGCACACGGATAAAACAACTTTAAATTACTTAAACCAAGTGGAAATGAACCTGATTGCCCTGCATATAAGCATTTATATTCTAAAGAATGCTCTTAAAACTGAAAAATATTTAACACTGTTTGTTGGGTTCACCAACATTAAAACCACCATCCCTCCTCCACCCCCAATTTGTGAGACTCCCATCTTACAAAAAGAATGGATTGAAAACACACTTTTTGGCTTTATATTGAAGAGAAAAGCAGTAAATAGTCTCATCATAAGTTGTTTGTTGAGAGACATCTACTTGGTGAGAAGTGTCCTACGTATGCAAATGAACATGTGAATATTAAAGAGAATCAGGGTAGAGAATGCACTGTTGTTTCCTTCATAATAATTGGCAGTGCTCTCATTGCATAGGTGGGAGTAATTCCGTTCTCATAAAGTAGTTTGATGCAGGTGAAATGTATTGATATGACATGTCTACTGTAGTTTTCACTTCTGTCATGGTAGATACTCTTTAATTCAACACAGATTTCTACTCCCATAGTCACATGGAACTAATGCCCTTATTCTGCATTTATTGTAATGCTTCACAAACCATCTGCTCAGATTTTTACCTGTGAGCCAAGTTTAAATTTGTCCTACGAGACAATGAAAAAATACTCTATGCTTTTTTAATGTGCTTGTTGACATATTTACTATAGATTTTCTAAGTGTTAGATTTTGAAATCATAGTGGTTAGGAAAAGGAAATATGCCCATATATAAACCCAGATTTTTAAAAGTATGCAGTGTTTTTAATTGATTATTTTTATCAATATGGGTTTGTAAACCTATATAACATTTATATTTTAAAAAATCAGTCCAGAAAATTATTTTCTTAATTGTACTCTTCTAACAGTGCATGTCAAAACTTTTACTCTGTTTTCTTAAATAATTTTTTGACAAAGAATTTGGATATCTAAAATTTTGAAAATAAATTTCATTTTAGCAATGACTCAAAATGATTGGAACCAGATGTATTTATATTTACCTTTTTTTTTTTCAAATTTACTTTTTTTGGTCTACTTTGGAATACAAATGCATTGGCATTCTTTTCCAAAAGTTTAGTGTTAATACAGATTAATATTTTAAATAATATTTCAATAAGTCAATAATCAAAATGGAGAACTGTTTACATGGATTTTAGTGAGAAATTTTCCTTCTACTGAGCCCTGTGTTAGGCATGATAGAGTACAGAAGTTTCCCCTGGACACTGCAATCTATTCAATCAAGCAGGGGAGATCTGCCAGTCTAGTAAAGGAGACAAAAAAATCTAACTTACTAGGAAAAAATAGACAACATACATAGGCATTACATAATGAAGAACTGACTTACTTGCTTTAGAGGAAGAGTCACAAGAGTTGGGAAGAGAGAGGACCCCTGGGAGCTAGAGTAAAGAAGAATTTGGAAGAAAATAAACTTGTGCAGAGTATTGAAAACTGGGAAGGACTTGGAGCAGGGAGAAGGAAGGGCTCACTATGCAAATGAAAAGTATTTGTAATGGTTAATCTTGGCTTTCTTTTTGTCTTTCTAGCCCCCAGAGTTACCTTCTTACCATGTTTTGCCTTTACCCTGAGCAAGGACTCCCCTGTGAATCTTTTTGTTATTGGGTCTTTTTCCATTCCTCTTCTGTACTTCTGACTTTATAGGACCTTGTCTTCAGCCACCCCCTTCCAAATGTAGGTTTGGAGGTGGGATGGATCTGTGCACAGAAATTAGCTGTAGTAACTGAATTTATACTAATATAAAATAAGACTGCTAATGAATTTCTCTAATTAATGAAGAAATACTATTTATATTTTGGAGCCTTGTTTGGAAATATTTTGTTTTGAAAGCTTAGAAATAACAGCTAATAAAATAGATGAGGTGGCTCATAGATAGACCTTTCCGAGGTACCTGTTGTTGCTTTTTTAAAAAAGATACGTGGTGCACAGCAAGTGCTCAATGAATGGCTGTTGTGCCAGATAGTAAGAGAGAAAGATGAGAAACTGAATTTGGAGCGGTGTTACCAGGGAAGAAGAGAGACCGCAAAGGCCTTGCTTCACCAGCTTTTCCCTCACACCCTCTTCTTACTTTTTTGAAAATTTTTTAGAAAAAAAGATAGTGAGGTTACCACTGGAGCTTCTGAACTTTCCTCTTGGACAGTTGATCACTGAGAACTTACCTAGAATCCGTCAAAGCAGCTTGCCCAATTTATCCTTATATCCTCTTTTTTTTCTTTCTTGGTGAGATTTTAAATTAAGAGTGACTTTTTAGTTCACTCATTAACTCAATCCTAAAATTATTTGTTTTCTTTAGACTTATTTTGTCTTTGAATAAAATTTTGATTGAATGTGCTAAAATCCAAAACTAGATAAATACCAAATTGGAAAAGGAACAGTATTTACTTATTAATCTCCTTCAAAGGACAAATACTTCCTTTATTCTCCCTTGCCCCTTTGTATTCTGGGACTTAGCCTGGAGGAAACATTTGCAGAATAATTATGTTCCTAAAACAGGGGCAACAATGGCAGTGTTGACACAGCCACCACTACAGGTCTAGGAACAGGATGGCCACAATTAAGAGCAAAATCCTGAAACACTGTAATTTCTGGGAAACAACATCCCTCTGGATTTTTTAAATGTTTTTGTTTATTTATTTATTTTCATCAGCTTAAGTTTCCTAACTGTGTGCTCTTATTCTAGCCAGTTTTCTCCAAATTCACTGAAAATAACACAAACCTGAAAAAGTGAGGAGGGGAAAGTACTTACTCTTGAGAAATCCCTGCCACCTTTGCACGAAGTCTCTACTTATTTTTGCCTGTGACCTTTCCCAAAACTGTCCTTAATATTTCTGTATCTGCTACTGACACAAATAATCATAGTTTTATATAATTGTCATTGAAAATATGATAATTTCTTGAGTTGTACTTTAAAAAAAATACTGTTGGAGTTTTAAAAATTGACACAAGTACCCTCAGACTTTCATGTGGGAGATTCCCACTAAACATCTGTGATGTGCCCTCTGCCTTGCCCTCCTCCCTCACATACGACCATACAAAAACAATGTCCCCATTCTAACTGGAGAAAATCATGTTGGAAAAGGATCCTCTTTAGCATCTTAGTGGGCATGGTTTTAGATCAATTAAAATAATGCTGACCTGTTTGAAATTGATTTCTTATGAATTTTATTAGCAATCATCTGCATCCTGAATATATTTATTCTTACAGATAATATTTAAAAAGTGGTCCATCCCTTGTCCTCTGACCTTAAATTACATAGAGGAATTCTTCCAGGTAATCATTTTTTTTTTTTTTAGGTTGGGTCTTTTTTTTTAACTTTTAAACTAAAAACAAAACAAACAAAAAAAAGCAGATGAATGATTTTTTTCCTAATTAATGAAAAAGTAATGGATATATTACATTTTGGAATGTTGCTTTGAAATAATTTGATTTGAAAGTCTAGTAATAACAAGTTAATTTTTGTTGGTATATTCTGACTTTTAATAGCTGTTGGTTTCTCTTTTTCCCCTCAATACTCTTAAACAGATTTCAAATGCTACAGATGATTGTAAACCAAAGCTCTTTCATTTCTCCAAAGAGGTGTGTAAGTTATTAACAGATACTTTTGGTTGATTTTTCACATTTCAAGTTTTAAGAGATTTGTGTAACAGGGTCTCTTAGGTCTTTGTACCTGTAACTAATTAATTTTCATGAAAGTGCTAAGTATAGGATTGCCTACCAGAAGAATAATATTATTTAACACAGGGTGGCCCATTATGAAACAGCCACCTTTTTTTTTTTTTGGTTTTTTTTTTTTTTTTTGGCATGCGTTTAAATGGAGCCTGTTTTAAATGGGCCTCTGCCTAAAAGAACAGATTTACCGAATGTCTGGTCTGGCCAATAAGGTCCTCTGTGCATACAGACTTCCTGTTGCTCACTGGACTTGTAAAGCTAAATAGCCAATTACATCAAAAACTCTTCCCCTGTGAGTAAAACAACGTTGGTCTGTAGCTAACTAACCTCATCATTGGACCAGTGACTGATTACTGCCAATATATCTTCTGATCAACATTCCAAAGTTGAAATTTATGGTGCTTAGAGCAGAGACTAGAAGATCAAGTCCTCTTGCCATCTCTCTTTAAGAGTGGTGGGACACTGGAAATACCTGCAAGAGCCCCTGAGCATCAGCAGAGGAGCTAACTATGATCTGAATGGTCTCTGCTTTACCCCTTGCAGAAGAGTTCAAGTCTTCCTTGTTTCTCAAGTTTCTTCCTCTATACTTTCTAATTCTGCTCAAATGCTATTTTGTAGGTCCCAGATGCTAGAATCCCTACTCATATACAACTCTATTAGTAGAGAATGTTAATGTGGTTACTTCTCCATGCAGAATCTTTTAATCCCTAGTTTTAAAATAAGAAATGTCTCTCTGGCCTCACAAGAGAGGTTACCACATCTTTTACATGGTAAAGACCTCCATGTGCCTTTAAGATGCAGGCAAGGTAATTGACAAGCCAGGACATTGAGCAATATATAAAACAGAGAATTTGTGAATTAAACTCTCATTTCCCTAATATGGCCTCAGGAAACACTACAGCCTACTTGTTCCCAGTGCCCTTCAGATGTTTTAAGAGTCTAAGTATTATATCCCAAGATAGGTATTCATCTGGAGTTTGTTTTTTTTTTTTGCTGAAGAACCTGAAGCTAGTTAAGGGAAAATATTTTTAGAGCAGAAAAGAGAAAATCACCACCACCCATTTGTTAATGACAGTATTTTTATTTAAGTGGTAACTTTTTACTTTATAGCTTCCTCTGACTCTTGTTAAGTATATTAGTAATAAAAACAAAACTTAGGCTTATGTATTTCATGGGATCTTAAAGAGTTTTTAACCTGGGCACCAGTGGCTCAAGCTTGTAATCCTAGCTACTCAGGAGGCAGAGATCAGGAGGATCATGGTTCAAAGCCAGCCCAGGCAAACAGTTCACAAGACCCTATCTTGAAATAAACCATCACAAAAAAGGGCTGGCAGAGTGGCTCAAGGTGTAGGCCCTGAGTTCAAGCCTCAGTACTGCAAAAAAAAAAAAAAGTGGGAGAGTTTAGGTCTAGAATAAATGATGTTCATTCTCATTAAAAGGGATCCCTGACAAAGATGCTGGCAGTACAAAAATGTGAATATTTTTAGTACTTATTAGGATTAAGTTGATAAAAACAAGCTTAAAAGCATTAACAGTTATTGCTGCTTAGGGTAATAAGATGTATCTAAATTGTGCATACATTAAAAATGACTGAGAGTTGCAATAAGAACATTGCTAAAATGTTATTTTATCATACCTAAATATTATTTATGTTATCTAAATTATTTTTTATCTTACCCAAATAATGGGTGGTGATTGCAGTAAAGTAACATAGTATGAGAAGCCAGACAAAAAATATTCTGATTAGAACATGCAAGCCAACTATGAAGTAAAATATTTGCTAGTGACCATAGGTGTATGTGTGATTTTTTAAAAAAAATCTTATAAAGAGATGATTCATGAAAAGAGTAAATAAATTTAACCAAATTGCTTTTTTAAAGAACTGAGAGTTTTTTGGTTTTGTTTTTTTTTTGGGACTGAAGTTTGAACTAAGGGCTTTGTACAGGCAGTCTGCTGCTTGAGCCACACCTCCAGTCCATTTTCCTCTGGCTATTTTGGAGATGGGGGTCTTGTGAACTTTTTTCCCAGGCTGGCCTCAAACCATGATCCTTCTGATCTCAGCCTTCCAAGTAGCTGGATTAAGGCAAGAACTGAGTTTGTTGTTAAATGAACTAGTACTTTCAATAGATGGTGTTTAATAACTTCATCTTTGTGAAAATTTTTTTCAGAGTGCTTACGCTATACCAACCATAGCTTTTTCATTTCTCTGCCATACTTCAATATTGCCCATATACTGTGAACTTCAAAGGTATTGTACAATCCTGGAATATTTTAAGGGTATTAAATGTGTTTCTTTACCTCTAGGGCTTTTAGATTGAATGATATTCTCACTTATGAATCTTTTCCTCTCATCATGGAATCTCAAATATTAGTTTAAAATGAAACGAAACTTGAGACTGTTCTAAAAGTGTTATCTTTGTGTACTAATTTCAGATTATAAATTCTAGTGTATAGTTGTGGCTGGATTAGATCTTGAATGATTGAGGAGTCCTCTTGACTAGCTTAGGAGATAACTTATTTCTTTAGATATAACTTAGATCACTGATCCTATGTTTGCCATTTTTGTCTTTTAGCCCATCAAAGGAAAGAATGCAGAGTGTAGCCAATACAGCCATTGCTTTAAGTTCTCTCGTTTACTTCACATCTGCACTATTTGGGTACCTCACTTTTTATGGTGAGTATACTCTTTAATTATAGATCGAAACAAATTATTATGTAGATGATCTCACACCTGACTATCGACATTCTTCTGTCTTTCATTATTAAGTTAGTTTATTCATCAGATTTCAGTGAAGTATTGTGGTAGTTCTTGTGAGCTTAAAGAATTGATTGTCTTTCTCTTAGGAAGATGGGTTTAAGTTTAAGATTAATGATTTCATATGAAATTTTTCATAAACATCTGAATAAAATTGCAGGCTTAGAGACATTAATGTCTTTCTATAAAAATGATTCTGGTTTTTAAAAATTGCATATTATGTTAGACTGTAGTTCAGAAGTTCGGGAGTTGAGAAAGGGAAGGATTTTACAGTGGACTCTAGTTGTATACTTCAGTGACAGGCATCTCTGACCTCAGATGTCATTGTCATAGGATTCAGCAGATTGCAGTTTATGATGCACTGGGACCTTTCTCCCAAGTAGTCTTTCTTTCTTTCTTTCTTGGTAGTTCTAGGGATTGAGCTGAGGGCCTTGCTGTTGTGCTTTGCCACTTGAGCCATACCCCTAGCCCTTTGGCTTAGTTGGTCTCATACTTTTTATGTGGGCCAGCCTTGGACTGTGATCCTCCTACCTACGCCTCCCGTGTAGCTGGAATTACAGGTAGGAACTACCATGCCTGACTTGTTTGTTGAGTTGAGGCCTCACTAACTTTTTTGTCTGGGCTGACCTTAAACTTTCGTCCTCCCAATCTCTATCTCCCAAGTAGCTGGGGTTACATGTGTGTGCCACAAATGCCTGGCCCAAAACATAGATTTTTTTGTGGCACAAGTATACAGGTTATTGGTCATTGAAATTTTTGGGACCAGAGTGTTTCAAATTTCTGAGTTTTTGACATTTTAGAATATTTGCATAGACTTTTTTGCTCAAAGAGTTTTGAATTTCAGATTTTGGATTTTCAAATTAGTGATGTTCAACCCGGTATTATTTTTAGGGATCTTCAACATTGAGAAAAAGTCCAGAAATACTGACCTCCTTCTCCTCCCTGTAGATAAGTAGAACTACCTGGGAAAAACCTTCATAGACCTTTCAAGTATCCAGGATGACTGAAGAATAGTTACATGAATCACTTGAATCATTAGGTAGTTAAGAACTATATCAAACTGTAACAAAGACAGCATCAGTTGAAAGGGAGGCGAAAGAAGGATGGATGCCGATACATTAATCCTTGTAACAATTCTGCAAGATGGGTTGAGTAATTAGGCCAGTACCTGCAGCTAATGCCTTTGTTGCTGTTCTGCCTCTTCAAAAGTCATGCTATAGAGCCCAGATTTCCTTCATTCCCAAGTTTCTGTTAGTGTGAACTTTTGCAAAAACCTGGCTCACTTAAGCTCCAGGCATATCTCTGTCTTCCTGCCTATTTATCTTGTCTGTCTTTCTATCCAGCCATACATCCATTATTGTTGCTGAAATACAATCTAAAAGTTTTCGCCATATAAATAAAATGTTTCCTAGATAGGGATTTACCTCATTATTAAGTCAAACTGTTATGTTGTCTCTGACTTAACCCCTTCTCCATAATGCAGATTCTTCAGTGTCCAAATTTTATATAATGGCAAAATGAAGAATCATACAGTAGGTAGATAGATAATAGGTAGTTATACAGAGAGATAGACAGGATGTTATAAAAGTTATTATTTCTCCAAAGACAAACATACAGGTATTGATTTGCTCTTCACGGTGGTTCTTTTTTGCATTGTTAATCATAACCAAGAAAAAAGTTCTATTATATATTTATGTCAGGATAGCAAGAACTCTCTGTCTTATGAAAAGAAATTGCTAATTAACCCTGAGATTAAGCCTTTATCAGAAAGGCTACCATGGAGTTAAAACTTTCAGTTCATTTTTTAAATGAGTGGCTAGCATAGGAGAGGTGAACTGTCACAGAATTAAATTCAGGTTTCCTGAATACTAATCCAGTATTCTTTCCGCTACTTCATACTCTGACAGTGTGTATTAAGCAGGTGGCCTCTTGAATTCAGTGGCATATATGACTTGCAGGGATCACCATCAGGTCCTTTCTGAGATTTGTCAAGATTTATCTGAATCCAGAGACACATGTTTACTCTATCCCTTACATATGTTAAGGCTCAGCTAAGAACACAGAATAATAGGCTCAGAAGAAAGGCTTCCATCCTGGGAAAGATGCGAGTAGACATATGACATGGGTTTTGAATTGTCATAAATGGAGTACTTCAGGCTTCTGGAGCAGCTTGGAATCCTTTTCCCCAGAACTCCTAAGGTTTAGTTAATATCTAAGTGTTTTCAGGTATGAATTTGTACCCAGATTAATAATATTGACTCTGATTACAGATGTTAAAGCATTATATGGCAATGAAGAGGAAAAGTGTTCCTCTGGTGAGCCAGGCCAGTGCCCAAATGTTGCATAAAAACCAGACTATTTAAAAGTCTATAAGATTGTTAAGCAAAAAGTGTTAATAACCTCATTTTTTGATTCAGAAAATAGAAATAAAATAGTTTGTCATATTTCTCCAAAGACTCACAGATTTGGAAATAGGATCTAGATTTCCTGATACTTGTTAGTCTCCTACATAATCCATTAGTTGCATATTGGGTGAATTTTGTCTGTAATACTTGAGACAATTCATTTCTCCCCCATTTCCATGATCACTAGTCCAGGTCAGACTCTCATTGCCACTTGAAGATTATGACAGTAGCCTTCTAACTGTTGTACATGTTTGTGGTTTTCCCTTGAGTCTTTACTTCTCCTTAATTCACATCATAATTCACTCTTCTTCCCAAGTCATTATTTCATCTCTGCAGCCTGCCAGACTGAGTCCAAACCTGCTGTGGTGCTGTATTTGTAGGTCTTCAGTGCATTCCCACCCTGTCACCTACTGCCTCTGCCCTGCAGCCATTACATCACAGCCATGTCAGTACTTATTGGACCGCTCATTTTCTCAGGAGCACCTTCTCCTTGCTGTGCTTCTGCTTGTGCTGCTGCTTTCTCTTGGAGAGGCTCTTCTCCCACATGTTCTGACTGTCAGCACATATACATTGATTCATTTCACACTCTTGTTAACTCTTTAGGTCAATGCATTATTGTCCCATTTTAAAGATGTAAAAACTGAAACTCAGGTGGGGTTCGAATATCACTTTATGGACTCAATTTAGAATTACTACAGATCTTTGCTTAGACTTTCTTCTGCCATGTGTCTGTGTGTATGCACTTTTTATTAGTCTATATGTATCCATCTTCTCTCCCCTTTAAGTTTTGCAGTCCTCAAAAACAGACAAACATATGAGTTTCATTTTTAAAAATTTTCCTTGAAGTATTGTTTAAAAACCTATACTGTCAAGTTAGAAAGCACCATTCCCTTTTAAGTACACACTGATCTTTGTCCGCAGGTACTGAGGTACATTGTTCTTAAGCACCCTCACTCTTCTTCCTCTGACTTGGGGTGAGAATGGTAGAACACTGGGGCAGAAAGTGTGGTCAGCATAAATCAGTTCTGTCCCTGATCACCACCTTGGCTTACTATGTAAGCCCTTTCCCTAACACTTCATTCTGTCTTTTATGAAAGATGAATCCACAGGTGAAATCTGATGATGCCGGTAATATGCATAAAACTCTGAGATTTGAGCAAATATTGTGTCATTGGGAAAAGGTATTAGCTTTGGCACAAAAAAAGCATTGTGTGTACAATGCTACCTGCTCTGCCCCCATGTATAATGTGATCTTAGACAAGTGATTTAATATTTTCAGCGTACCTAGCTATCTCATATCATTATAGGGACCAAATTCAGCAGGGCAAGTGAAAGCACTTCACAAACAATATGAGCTTGGACAGGTTATGGACAAGTTCTGAAGATATATATACACATATACATATATATATATACATATGTATATGTGTATATATATTTTTTTTTTCCTGCAGCACGGGGATTTAAACTCAAAGGCCTCACACTTGCTAGACAGGTATTCTTACTCCTTGAGCCATACCACCATCCCTAAAAAGAAATTAAATTATTGTCATAATTTTAGAAATTCTGCCTATCCTAGTTTCCAATTTCATTGAAAGAAAAATAAGATATTTAATTAATGTCTTTGTGTTTCATTCATAGGATGGGGGGAAAGGCCAGAGATAGATTTGGTAATGTGAATCCAAATCTATTAAGACCCATTAGTGCAATAGAAAATAGTTTTGCTATTATTAACATCTAAATACATAGTTTATAATGTGATCTCTATTACCATTTTTTTATTTGCAGACAAAGTGGAGTCAGAATTACTACAAGGTTATAGTAAATACTTGCCACATGATGTTGTCATCATGACTGTGAAGTTATGCATACTGTTTGCTGTACTTTTGACAGTCCCTCTAATCCACTTCCCTGTAAGTATGCTTAAAGGTTTTGTTGCTTAGTGTAGTGACTCCCTAATATGGCAACACTAATTCTTTGCAGACTAGAACCTTTGAATCACATCTAGGCTGGTGTATCTTACTCATTTGTCAAGTAATTGATCAAAGACCTCATACTTGCATATGGCTCCATGAAAGCACAAGAATAATAGTGAACCACTAAGCTAATTTGTGCTTTCTGAGATTTAGTTTAGATTTGTGCTCTCCCTCAGCATTGTTTCCAATTTAGAGACTATAGTTCCTCTAAAGTTTTGGGGGTTTCTTCCCCCTCCACTTTCTGTATTCTGTCTTCAAAAGGATGTGAGTATAGAGGAAAACATCAAGTCAGCAAACATGAGCTTCTACTAGTATATTGTAGATTTATTTTCACAAAGATGTACAAGTTTAATCTTAGTGAAATAATTTATTTGCTCTAGAATCGCATATAAAGGAAGAACAGATTTTCATTCTGTATCCAGTTGCTATATATAAGAGTTTTAAGAATTTCTGAGAAAATGAAAACAAAGACTTTAGGTTTAAATATTTCTGCATTGCTGTCTTGAATCTCTAACAGTGAGTTTTTTAAGTACTGGGCTTTGCGGGGCTGGAGGAGTGGCTCAAGCAGTGCCTTCTAAGCACAAAGCCCTGAGTTCAAACCCCAGGACCACCGAAACAAACAAACAAACAAAAAAACTGGGCCTTCAAAACTTTTTGCCCCTCTTGTACAGACTGTACTCAGAGCAAGAGTATAGCAGGGTCTGGGAAAATTATGGGATGTGACTGCCTCCTGCCTACCTTAGCAATGGAAGTAGAATGAGCTGTTTTTCATATTTCCATGCTGTGAAACAGATAATAGGAAATAGCAAATGGTATTTTTTCCCATGGTATGATTTCTTCTATTTTAAATATTTGGTTTTCTGTTAAATGTAATGAAAATGATGCTTTAAGATTTCATCACACAGTGTTATTGTTGGTAATTTTTTAAATTATGCAACCTAAAAAAATGCTTGTGAAAAAAATTTGTAAAATTTAAGCAAATAATTTTTATGAAGCTCATACAGAAAGGTTTATGTGTATAAACACTTAGTTTAGTTTGTGTGCATAAACACTTTATAATAATAGCAGTTTATGCTGCATTTTTGGAACCCAAATGTTTTAGGGGGACAAGAATATCATGCTTACTGTACATGTGTTTTCTCCAGGTGAATACTTTGCCTCCTCTTTCCCTAAATCTCTTTGTTTTTCTGTTATCCAGGCCAGAAAGGCTTTAATGATGATGCTGTTCTCCAATTGTCCATTCTCTTGGACTCGCCATTCTTTGATCACTCTAGCACTCAATATTATCATTGTCTTACTTGCAATGTATGTTCCTGACATTAGAAATATATTTGGTGTAGTTGGTAAGTTTTCCATTTCAAAGAGAATTCCACATAATAAAGGGATAAAATCATCACTCTGCTGCACATCTGAATCCAACAATACCTTTTTTTTTTCCTTGTGTCCAACTTATAGGTGCCAGTACATCAACATGTTTGATTTTTGTATTCCCAGGACTGTTTTATCTGAAACTTAGTAGAGAGGATCTTCTCTCATGGAAAAAGCTTGGTGTAGGTTGTTTTTGTCTGTTTCTTCTAAGACTTCCATTTTGAGAAATAATTTGTCATTTTTCATTATTTTACCCATGTCAAAAAAGTCAATATATTTTAAACTATGAAATACATTATGGGAAGGATAGAGTTTAAAAATACTCCTAATTGTTCTTTATCTTTTTATTTCCACAGGGTTTTGTTTTGCTCATTTCTGGAATTATAGTTGGGAATTTTAGTTTAGCACTTATCATTTTTGATTGGATTAATAAATGAAAGAAATAGTTTCCTATTTCTTATACAGAATAATTTACTTCCATAAACAAGAAGGAATAATTCTAGAAGGCACCTTGGATGAGAAATGAAAATTGTTAACAGAAAAGCAGAACAAAATAACAGTGTATTAAGAAAAAATAGGAATATAGTAATTTTAATCAAAATAAACACTCAAAATGCTCTTAAATATATTGAGTCAATCTCTTGTTTGTCTTTACAGAAATCAGTGTATTAAGTTTATATACAAAATGGATTCTTAGCTCGCTGTTTAATGTTGCCAGCACCAGTCACTGATACCAAAACTGTGAGATTACTCCAGTTGGTATTTCGCCCTGCCTCCAAATCTTATCCAAAGCTTTTGAGATTTTCCTATGTTGTTCATTATTCTCTCTGTTGTTTATTATGTGGATCTGAAAGTTCTCAGTTTGTCACTCAAACATGTGACATTCTGCTCCACGGAGACAAAAATTGATCATCTATCTTATATTTTGTTTGGAAATTGTAAACCACTGTAGTTTCCCATTGGCATGGCTAATTTCTGGCTGGCAGCTGGAAGCTAGGACTCTTCTGCTTGGAGTTTTCTTTGTGAAGAACCACGTGGTTAGCAGTCTACCAAAGCCAGGGTGTATCAGTAAAGCTGTAATCCTACCACAGTCCACATGTAAAGTACAGAACTGCATGCAAAATGACAACTTGCATATATGGAAATACACACTTTGGCAGCTGCCCTCTTACTTCCTATTTAAGAAATAGGCTGAGAAATTGACAGCTGAGCTACTCTTTTTCAGCAATTTGAGAACACTGGTGTAGTGAGAAAAGGCCAAGCTTTTAGTTGGAAAGACTTGGATTCAAATCTTAATGAAAGGCATACTACTTACCTTTCTTTCTTTCTTTTCTTTTTTTTTTTTTGGTGGGGTTTTGAACTCAGAATCTTGCACTTGCGAGGCAGACACTCTACCACTTGAACCATGCTGGCCTTGAACCTCAATCCTCCCAATCTTTGCCTCCCAAGTATGTAGGATTACAGGCGTGAGCAACCATGCCTGACTACTCAATTTAATCTTTCTAACCTCCACTTTCAAACCTGTAAAATGAAATTAATACCTATTATACAAGGTTGTTTTGAGAGGATTAAATGGCCTTTGATAAATTAGGTGCAGATCAAAATAGGCTTTCTTAACAGATTGTATTTATCCCTTATCTGGACCAATAAGATGAAATTACTTTTAACCAAGGACAGTGAGGTGGAAGCACGTCTTGAAGTTTTCCATCTTCCATCCTTTACAACGCTTATCTTCAGAATCTTTCTCTAGCCTTCACTCACAGCAGAGCTGGCCCCAGAAGCACTGTTCTTAGTGTTTTTCCCACAGTTCTACCCCAGCTGTACTCTACTTCTTGAAACTCAGCACTTAGCATGGTCCCAGGGGGCACAGCCTCCCATGTGGCTTCAGGCAGACAGAGCCCATCAAGCTGATAAGCTACAAGTTGTACCCTCTTTTTCTGTTTATGAAATTATGGATCTAAATACACGTAGGTGTTCAGCTGCTTAAATAAATCTAACTCCAGTAATACTAAAATAACCTTAAATCTGTAACAGATGTAAGGATGCCCCCTGGGGCAAATGTTAAGTGTGATGACAGCTGGGCATCAATTAATACATTTGTCACCTGCTCATGAGATAGTACCTTGGGAGGTTTGGCAAAAGAGACAAATAACCCATGGAACGCACACACAAAACTTGGTAGTAAGAAAAATGATTTGGGGAGGCATTCAGTTTTATTTTACTTTAATGTTCTGCCTTGTCTGGTTGCCTGTTTTGAGTCACATTCTCTCTGAATTTGGAGAAAGCTAATGAGATGGCTGGTGAGAGCTGCGTCCCCTCCACTGGGATTACCACAAAACCTCGTTCAAGTAACCACTCAGCATTTTTCCGGGAAATATGGGCCTTCTCATTACAGACTTAATGTTCATAATTTATTAGGTAATAACTTTAAAACAAAACTAAGGAAAGCACAAAATATATACTTTTCTAACATTTGGAGACGTGTTTGCTAAATTAAAAGACAAAATGCCAAGACTATAAATTACTTTCGTATGTTGAAAGTGAACGTTTAAATGGTACTTTTTTTTTTTTTTAAACAGAATGTTTACCCATGAGCTTAGCATTTAAATGGTTAAAACAAGCCTTTGAAGTTAACACTCCATTAAGATGAATGGGGGTAATTCACACCTCTGCTGGTGCTGTATTATTTCAGTCTGGCTGTGGAGACAACAGGACAGCAGTAGGTTGATTTACTGTGTGAAGGCCCTTTAACACCCAAGGTCTGGAAATCTTTGTGGTATTTTTTTCCTTTTTTGTCTAGAAGTAGGATCCGTAATTCACCACCACCTAGTGTAGAACTAAAGTGAAAATACCATAGGTTCTTTACTCCCTGGCAATTCTGTATCTGGCATTTGCGGGTAAGCAAGTTACCGGACCAACCCAACCTCTCTGGCTTTGTTTGACCCTGCACTGTAATGTTTCTTCTACCATAGCAGTTTGTAAACTTCAGCTTAGTAGTCTGATAAGTTCACCAATGGAAAAACAGAAAGAATCCATTTTCAGGTAAACTTCAAATATACCTTTAATGGTTTATGAGCTAATCATTGGCCTTCATGTACTACTCCTGAAAACATTTTCGATTTTCGAAAAATCTTATGTTCTGATTTGCCTAAATATAAAGTATCTATCTTTAACAACATGCCCCCCATATTTGTGGGGTATTGTATCAGTCTTATTTTGCATTTGAAGTGTATGTTAACCTTGGAAGTGCTATTGAGATATGACCTTGAAAAGACTCATTTTTAGAGCCTAGGAATAAGGTTGTCTTAACACACATAAGATGGCAAACATCATGTGAGATGTTACTGAATCTGGGAGATCTTTTGTAATGTGGACAGATTTTTCTCTTCTTTCTCTACCCTGTACATTTTGGAGGATCAGGTTTTTGGGTAATCTGTGGGTAGCCACGTGTGGAGAATATTTCTGCACTACCTGCAGACCTGACATCACCAGGAGACTATAGAGAGAGATAGAAGATTGACACGAGAAACAAAGGGGATCCAGCTGAATTAACTTCAACCTGTTTTTTCACTTGGCATATTAACAACACTCTGGTGTGCGAGAATTAACCCTATGTTAAACATACTTTGCTCCCTCCACATTTTTCTTTAGATGTCCTAATATTTGACCTCATTACCTTTTATAGTAATGAGAAATTGTTTTCCTAATTTAAATTTACAAGTTATTCATTCTTCTATGGAAAGATCCCTGCTATAGTCTTTCCATAATGAGATAGGAAAACAAATTTCGGTGGAGGATGAATGAAGATACTTTGGATGTGGTTTCTTCACTGTAGTCAGAACACTTTTTTTATTTCTCGCTCTTGCTAACAATGTGATATATGTTTTACTCTCATGATGATCCTAGTTTGCCAGGCTGTCAAGAGAAAGCAATTATGAGGAACAGGAAGACTCCTCTTGGCTGATGGCCAAGAGGACAGGTGGGAGTGAGAGTTGTGTTCACCTATGGGACAAAGTAGATGGGTGGAGGGAAATTGTGTTTCCAGTGGCGGGGTTGGGGGGCAGATGGCTGAGAAGACATTGTAACATAGGATGCTAGAAAGAAAAAGACTTGCAGAGAAATACTTCTCGCTTCTTTGAGTGCCATGTCTATGTTACCAAATGTTCACCAGTGGGCTGATGTACAGCACAAGCAAAGGGGTTGGCTCGTTCCATCAGCACATATGTCCTAAGATTTGTGCAAGGTCTAAAGTTGTAAAGCTTAAACAGGACAAGTGTCTTACCTTAGAAAAGCTTGGACACAACTTTGATTTTTCTGATTGAACCTTTTCAGATAGATTTCCTAAGTGAAATTGCTTAACAAAGGAAAATTACACACATTTCACACACACACACACACACACACACACACACATTTTAAAAGATTGAAAGTGATTACCTGTGTTCAAATCCCCAATCTACCTCTCTAATTCTGAACAAGTTAGTCCTCTGAGCTGTGCAGACTTTGCTATCTGAAGTGTTCTCGCAGCCAGGGGAAGCCCCTTTGTTTCCTGATGTTGGACAACGTGACGTGGGGAAAGCTTGAGTGAGCTGCTCGCACTGGGTCTAGTGCACTTTTATCACTTAGCTTCCAACTACACACTTTGCCCTTCTCTGTCTGCTTCAGCCATTTAGACAACATCCAAACGAGAAATGATATTCTAGAAGGAGCCTGACAAATGCACCCATTCTTGCTACTGATGTGTTACTCCCCAGAAAAGTAGCTTTTATTGTTTTGTAGTAACTACTATCAACATTTCTGATTTCACACTAGCTTTTTATCTTAAGTGTCCCTCAAAGCCCAGTGTGATAAAGGCTTAGTCCCCAACTTGGCACTGTTGGGAAGTGGTAAAAACTTTTAGAGGTAGAGCCTAGTAGGAGGTCTTCCAGTCACTGGGGAGTACCCTTGAGGGGTGCCATAAAGTAAACAGCTTCCTCCACCATGCACTCCCAGCATAATGTGCAGCCTTGCCACAGGCCCAAAAGCAACAGAACTGATTGACCATGGAAAACTTCGAAACTGTCAGCCAAAATAAACCTTTCTTCTTTTTAAGTTTATTGTCTCAGGTATTTTGTTCTAGTAATAGGAAGCTAACATCCACTCCACATATATACATAGATTTGATATATATGTTAAATTTCATCTTTTTACTTCAACTCATCATCCCAGCAATTGACAGCATTTTTTGATTTGTGATTCTAATGTATCAGTCATCATTCCCTGCCTTTTGTTTTTTTGACATCCCATATTCACAGATAAAAATATTAAATAAGAAGCAGGTATGGTAGAACATTCCTTTAATCCCAGCATTCAGGAAGTAGAGGGAGGAGGGTCAAAAATTTTAGGCCATCTTAAATAGCCTAGATAATGAAGTTGAGGCTAGCCTGGGCTGCATAGTAAGGCCCTGTCTCCAAAAATAAAGTTTTTTTTTTTTAAGTTTGATGACCACCATCCTTACATGTGAGAGGTGGTATCTCACTGTGGTTTTGTTTGGCATTTATTTGATAATTAATGATGTTAGCATTTTTCATATAACTGTTAGCAATTTGTGTGTCTTCTCTGGAGAAATTTCT